ACGAAGAGAACTTCATTCTCCTTCATAGCAGCAAGTTCAAAGTTCAAATTGTAGGTTAATCATCCTTTTTGTTCCTCCATGTAGAAAACTTTATTCTTTTAGACTCAAGTTACTTGTGCTTGTAAGTAGCGTATAATAGATTGTTTTGACTAGTTTTTTGTTGGGATGGAGCACATCTATCTACCTACCTACCTACCTATCTATCTATATATTTATAGTTTTCTTCAATTTTTATGTAATTTTACTTGTTTATAAATATTTGTTGTAATTATATTATTTTATAATATATTAAAATTTTAAATATCTATGGGGCTTACGCCCCGTGCCTCGGGGCTTACGCCTCGCTGAGGCATATGTAAAACGCGTCGCCTTACGCCTACACCTTTTAAAACACTGCTCTGGAGATAAGAATGCTTCCCAATTTGCTCTAAAATAGGTCCTATATCGTAACCAATTTGTCTTTGTTCCGTTTCTGGCAGATAGCAAGTCTATCTGATGATTAATAATCATAACTATGAGCTATCAATCAAAGGCAAATCCATGATATGGAGGTTCCAGGTGCTACACCGCTTTGAACAGACATGTTGCTATTTACATTGTCCATATATGGTATTATTACACACACACATATATATATAGAGAGAATGTTCCCCGAGGTTTACTGGTGCCTGTGCACCCTCTCCCTCCTTAGTTGATCCGCAATATTTTGTGGTCTAAGGATTTTACTGTTATTAAAGATTGCCCAGGACCTATATTTGCCGGTTACTATAACATATTATTTGAGATTAAAAAAATCATAATGGATCATGTGTTATGGTAAAACATTTAAGAGGACTTTCATGACTTCATTTAGTGCTGATAATTTTCATCCATGTCAAGAATGTCAATAACTTAATTTCATTTCGAGTTGTTTTCACTGACTAAAAAGTCTTTAGACTTTCATAAAGCATGTTCAATTATATCATATTTTTACCTTGCACTTTAGAGTGGCTTTCAAACTTATTTCTTCTCAGTTTATGACTATTATCGTCTACAAACTTAGCAAATCATGCAAATACCTCCCCCCCCCCCCCCCCCCACCTAACCAAAACGTGGGTCGATGGGAGGAGTGAATTCTGCCTCCAATATTATGTGAATTTTGCCCTGGAATTAATACTTGCATGAAAAATGTGCTTCTTCATTTGTTTGCGAACTAGTGGATTTAAAGGTTTGCTTGAGGCACATGTAAACTCTTTAAGTATAGGTGTAACGCAGGTCAGGTGTCTCCGTCATTTAAGTGGCGTTAAGTGCATGCAGGCAGCAAGGCACTAATGTCTTATTCTCATTGACAAGCTTAACGTAGGTATAAATCTGCTTAATTTGTGGCCTCTGAAAGAGTAGAACATCAAAAAATCAAAATAACTGGCAAAGTGGTATATTAATTGTAAAACGTTATGAACTTAGGAATATAGAAGAAATTTATAAGAAATTATTCGTTAATCTTGAATTGTAATTTAACTGCATTTTGCATCAGATCATAAATTTGAAATGATTGTTAACTTAATCTGTATGAATTTTATTTCACGTGTTTCATGTAATAGCAGTATCAGTTCCTATTATAAGTGTTTGTTTGTGACTTTGTGTTTATATCAGTTCCTATATGTTTATTTTATTCCTATTTGCACCTTTCTTTACTGAAGTTCATGCTTTAAATTGGTTTATCCTTGTGCCATCACANGGCTTGAAGTGTCAGGTTAATTTGCTTATTTTACAATTTGGTTTTTTATTGAGCTCTCTCCTTTGAGTCTATTCCATGTTGTATGCACACAAAAAAATCCATCAGCAAGACTAATCAGCCTATGGCGTTGGGGGATTCTAATGTTGTTATACAACTTCAAACTGATTGTTATATGGATTTTTGTTGTGGTTTCGTTTCTAATCACAACCCTTTGAACATTCTAGATGAGAAGGGTAAATTTGATGAGCTGATTGAAGATAAGGGAGTAAAAATACTTATTGATCCTAAGGCACTGATGCACGTGATTGGTACCAAGATGGATTTTGTAGATGATAAATTGAGGTAAGGGATTTACTTGTCAATATCTGTATCGCTAGTTGCTTTTATTAAGCCGACTCTCAAACACTTTAGGTACGAATCCTGTTAATTTTGTGGAAAAGTGGCTCATTTTGCTATTTTGGATGAAATGCACTGAAAGGTACTTAGTATTAGTAATCTCGCACAATGAGTGGATGGCACAATTTGACCCCTCTGCAGCTTTGTCACTTACTTGCTGCTTCATCCAACTCCTACCTGTTGCCGCTAATTTTTCTTAGGGTGTATAGTTTTGTGGTTTTTTGCTTTAGTTTATACTAATTACATGTAACAAACCTTAATAAATGTTCTAATGTCATTTAGGATCTGATTATTGTTTATCTATGTTGCAAATTATGCTGGGAATATTTGCAATTATACATATAGTTTTGAGAAATATGAAGTTGTCAGTCCAGAAAACGTTTGTGCGAAGACTTAGTGGATAGTGGAGGCATTCTTTTGTATCTTCGCATTTTCTGGATTCTTTAGTTCAGGTTAGTTTTTCTCTAAGGATCATATTGTGGTTAGCTAAACTATGTAACTGTGAGCTATGCTGGCGCTGAAGATTTCAGGGGGCGGGGGTCTAGAGGAGAATCAAAACATTTCTGGCATCAATAGCTCAGTTGTGGCAAGCCCTATGAATGGCTGCTACAAATCTTTTAACGATGTTTTGACTTGTCCAAAGCTGTCCGTTTCATAAGGCGTCCGCAGCTGTTTATGACTTATTTTAACATCTTATTTGCAGGTCTGAGTTCGTATTTATTAATCCCAACTCCAAGGGGCAATGTGGTTGTGGCGAGTCTTTCATGACAGCAGCTAGTAGAGGAGCTGGAAAATGAGATGATTTTCACTGAGATATTCATGTTTATAATGTACTTTCACTAGGATAGACAGAGGATGAAATAAAAATTCTCCAGGAATTATATGCCATACTAATACATACGTTCCTATTGTATCTATTGGATGTGAGAATTCGCAGTCATGGCAGTTGTATAATCTACTGATCCTACAGAAGTGGAAATATTTTTTTTTTTGGCAATCCTTGCTTTAAAGTTCCGGAGTTACGGAACTGCTAAACAGTGGAACTTGCATCCTGTCCTAGCGGTCAATGAAGTGGGTGAAACAATACCTTATATATATATATACACACACATAACTGCAACCTCTTGTAGAATTGCAGGGTAAGACTATGTACGATAGACTCTTGTGGTCGATCCTCTTCGGACCCAACACATAGCACGAGCTTAGTGTACCGATCTGCCCTTTTACTGTTCACTAATTTAAAATACTATTTCCCTTCTGTTCGGTACAGTAATGTGAGAGTAGAAGTGTTGAACATAACTATTTGTAATTTGTGCCAACTAGAGTTAAAAACCTGTCATTTTGTCACGAGTATGCCTTTCACTTTCTTATGCTGATTCATTTGAAGTTTTTCTTTGTCTTTCGATTGGACTTTTCTATGTAAGGCCACAAATAAAAAACATCTACCAATCCAATCTTTCAAAATGTGAAGAACCCTCCAATCAGCCCCTCTTATCCTTTTCCATTCAGGTGTAGTTTCCTTGGTGTGCGTCAATTTCCATTTTTGTTTAATTTTGTTAGTTCCTATGATTATGCACTTGGACGAATTGTTTTCTCTTTGTATTTTTTTATATCCGTGGTGTCCGGATTAAATTATGCATAACTCAACTAATTTATTGAATATTCATTAATTTTTTTTCAAGAATAGATATAAAATAACTATGCCTACTAAGACATTGAATACCTGGTCGGAAAAAATTTCGTCAATCTAAAGAAAAATAAAAAATAAATTTCGTCAATTTTTTTACGTAAAATTTTAAAATACATATTGATTATTTTTTTTTAGAAAAAAAGACTGTTGAAAAGAATACAACATAGTATAAAGCATTCATATCAATAAGTGTATTTAACAAACATTCATTCATTGAAGGAGTGGGTTTCTATAGTTGTGTACTATGATTGGCCAGTTGAATGTCCAGAGTAACATAGATTCTCACGTGCCACCCACTTTTCACACATTAACACACACACTGTGTGTGTCTTTTGTCCCTCCCACCACCCCCATAATGCTGGCTTGACCATTTCTCTCCCAAAACCCAATCAATATTCCTTCTATTCGTCCTCTCTATTCTCTGTACCTTCTCTTTTTTGTTTTTGTTTTTGTTTGATCGATTGATTCTTATTCTTGATGTTGATCATAATCCTATGATGATTCATGTGGTAAGCTTCTTAAAATTCTTGGATTTTTGCATTTTACAGTTTTTGGTATAGTTATTTATTGTGTTGTGTTATGGTTTTTCAGGATTGAAATTGATGAGTTAAAGCTGAGATTTTTTTTGATCCTCAAATATTGCCCCAAAGGTCAAAACTTTAACTTGGTATCCTCTGTATCTTTTGAGAAACCAGATTCTTGATTTAGTTATTTATTGTGTTGTGTTATGGTTTTTCAGGATTGGAATTTGATGACTTAAAGCTGAGATTTTTTTGCTCCTTATTGCCCCAAAGGTCAAAACTTTAGCTTGGTGTCCTTTGTATCTTTTGAGAAACCAGATTCTTGATTTAGTTACTTATTGTGTTGTGTTATGGTTTTTCAGGATTGGAAACTGATGAGTTAAAGCTGAGGATTTTTTGCTCCTCAAATATTGCACCAAAGGTCAAAACTTTAACTTGGTAAATTTGTATCTTTTGAGAAACCAAATTCTTGATTTAGTTATTTATTGTGCTTTGTTATGGTTTCTCAGGATTGGAAATTGATGATAGGCTGAAAGAGCGTAGTTTTGACCTAAATTCCTTACATTTAAGGTTCCTCTCCTTCGCGGGATAGGGCACATTCCGCCATAACCACACTTTAAACCTCGATCCAGTTCTCAAACTATATGAAAGCTGAGATTTTTTGCTCCTCAAATACTTCCCCAAAGGTCAAAACTTTTACTTGGTATCCTCCTCCATCTTTTGAGAAACAAGATTCTTGATTTGGGTTTTTGGCTGACTTGTGGTTGGTCAAGAAAATCTGTGTGTGGTTTTATTACCATTTGCTAATTGACTAAAAAGGGTCTCTGGTTATTCCATTTTTCGGTTGATTTTCCCTCAAGATTATCTGGGCTTTGATTAGCTTATGAAAATCTTTCCCTTAAGAGATTACTGAGAATAACCAGATGTTGGGATTTAGATTCCTTGAAAAGTGTCCCTTGGATAATATGGTAATGCAGTTTGGAGATATATGCTGCATAATTGTGATGCTTGGATTGTAGCATTTGTTTTCTTGGGACCCTTTTCAAATTGTCGTTTTATTTGAGGGTATGATGGAGTACCTTCCTGTTGAGGTCATTGGGAACATTTTGTCCCGGCTCGGAGCTGCGCGGGATGTTGTAATTGCATCATCTACTTGTCGGAAGTGGCGAGAGGCTTGGCGGAATCATCTTCATACACTCACATTTAACTCGAATGACTGGCCGGTTTATCACGAGCTCACAAGGAGCAGACTTGAGATCATTATAACTCAGACGATTTTCCAGACTAATGGACTGCAGTGCATTTCAATCATAATGGATGATGTTGATGAGTTCTCTGCTGCTCCGGTGATAGCTTGGCTAATGTATACTAGAGAAACGTTGCGCCAGTTACATTACAATGTTAGGACTACGCCCAACATTAATATACTCGAAAAATGTGGTCGCCAGCGGCTGGAAGTGTTGGCTCTGGCACACAATACAATCACGGGTGTTGAACCTAGTTACCAAAAATTCCCTTGCTTGAGGTCTCTTTCACTAAGTTATGTCAGTATATCGGCTTTAGACCTGAGTCTTTTCCTTACAGCCTGCACGAAAGTTGAGGTTTTGAATCTTGTCAGTCTAGACATTGTTATGTCTGATCCACAGGCAACGATGGAGCTGAGTAGTAACTCTTTGAAAGATATCTATGTTGAAGCCATTAGTTTGGATAAAATCACACTTGAGGCAGATAGTCTTGAGAAACTGCATTTGAAAGATTGTACGCTCGAGGTCTTTGAGCTTGTTAGCAAGGGGAAATTACAACTCCTTAAGATTGACGACGTTAGTGTCATCCATCTTGATATTGGTGAGAGCACTGAAAATCTTGAAATTGTGGACGTAAGCAATTTCACGATCATGTGGTCCAAGTTCCATCATATGATAGCGAAATCATCAAAGCTGAGAAGACTGAGGCTATGGGGAGTTGTATTTGACGATGATGACGAGGTTGTCGATATTGAGACAATATCTGCTTGCTTTCCTCAATTAAGTCATTTATCGTTGAGCTATGAATTAAGAGAGACAGCACTTCAGTATGGATTGCAAGATTCTTTTCGATTGGAAAATGTGGTCGTCTTGGAGCTAGGCTGGACAGTGATTAGCGACCTGTTCTCGCATTGGGTAGCAGGACTACTTGAAAGGTGCCCTAACTTGAGGAATTTGGTAATCTATGGGGTCGTTTCAGAAACCAAAACGCATGAAGAATGTCATACATTAGCCAGCTTCACATCTTTCATTGTAAGGCTTATGAGGAAATATGCGCATGTAGATGTTCAGTTTGAATATGAATAGACTTGAACAATTGTTCCCTACGGTGGAGTTCAAACTTTTGCCTAATCTCGGCAACGCAAGGAGGTACATGATCCTTAGTGGTGATTGTCTTTTTCCTATATTGGTACAACCCTGTAATTTATGATAAATTTTGGACTCGTCTTATTCTTTCAATTCAGGTAAAAGTAGTATTTGCATTTCTTGTTATCCTCTTATTACTAGTTTGTGCGAATGCACACTATTTCTGTTATTACGAATTTTCATCAATTCTGCTTTTCTGTTTTGTTCTTTTTGTTGGGAAGCTTCCTTACAGTCCATGTTGTAGTTCATTGGTATAGATGCATGATGTAGACTTGTTAAACTGACTGAAGAAATGAGAAATAGAAGAAATATTGGTTAATTATTTGACAATGGAAAAAACCATAGTGCTAACGTTAATATTCACCTACTATGAATAATAGCACTGCTCAAGGTAAAAGAGCAGTGCTTATGCCTCTGTGGTATTGGTAAGAAAAGCTGTTAGAATTTCATCTTTCATAAGATCCTCTTCCTAAAAGAATGGTTGAGGTTCAGTTAAGGCGATATCTTTGATAATCATTCCTTAGGAATTTCTATCCCCAGCTCTTGAACTCCAAGAGCCAGAGAACTACTTATGAACGTTTAGATTGAAAAATCTGGTACAAGTGATCGTATTCTGTAGGTTGGCTGTTTTTGTGCAACTTGAGACCTAGATATTAGAAAGCTACGGAAGAATGGATTCTCTCTCTACAGCTGCTCTGCGAGTTCCAGCTTTCATCGTGCCCCTTATTGTTGGTATTGTTCTCTCTCTCTCTCTGTTTTTTTTACAATGAATCTCTTGGTAGTGTCTTAACCAACAAATTTTACTGTGAAGGCATGCCTAGAAATCGGTACTTTGGTGGGAGACGGATATGTGTAGATATGCATTTTTGAAGAAAAGGCATAGCTGTTGATTCATAACTTTTTTCTGAAATCTGTTGCATGATTAAGGATTACCCTTTACGTTTGAAGACCTAATTCAAGTAAATTCTACTGCTGGCCGGTTTTAGAGCCTCCTCTTTTCTTTTTTCCTTCTATTTGGTAGTATGAAGATTGCATATGGAATGTGGCATGCACAAGTTGGTCCCGACACCATTATTATTAAAAAGAAATTATAAAATTTGTAATTGGGTAAAATGCTGAAGATAGATGAAGAAAGGACTAAACTTTTCTTGGTAAATGTGAATTAACCAAATGACTCGGCCTTAGTTTTCTTGAGAATGGTGTTTTTCTATACTTTGAGTAAAGAAATGATTTCTCGCTAGGTTAACAACAACAAACCCAGTGTAGTCCCATAAATGGGGTCTTGGGAGGGTAGTGTACACAAATCTTACCCCTACCTTATAAAGATAGAGATGTTGTTTCCGATAGACCCTCGACTCAAGGAACAGTGGAGATAAAGCAACAAGTAGCAAAAAATATATTAAGGTAACAGGCGCGAATGACACATGTAATAGTAAAGAACCATGAATAAGTTAATAGGAGTACAAAAATAATCCTAGTACTACTGGTAAGCCTAGGAGGAACGCACTACTATCTTGTCAACCTATAACCCTAATCCTCGACTCTCCACACCTTTTTATCGTGGGTCATATCCTCAGTAAGCTGGAGCAATGACATGTCCTGCCTAACTACATCTCCCCAATACTTCTTAGGCCTGTCCCTTCCCTTCCTCCCCGCAATGGACAACCTCTCATACCTCCTGACCGGAGCATCTATGTCTCTGCTCTTCACATGTCCGAACCATCTCAACCTCGACTCCTGCAACTTGTCCTCCATAGATGCCACTCCTACGTTATCCCTAATAACTTCATTCCTGATCCTCTCTTTCCTGGTATGACCACACATCCATCTCAACATCCTTATTTCAGCTACTTCATCTTCTGGACATGGGACTTCCTCGCTAGGTTCAAAAGTAAAAAGATAGATATTTAGCTTTTGAACCTGTCTGCAGTTGGGCAACGTGGAGCAGATAGATATGTTTATACTTTCTCTATCCCATTTTACGGGTCAAATTTGGTCCAACAGTAAAACTTAGAAATTATTACTTGCGAATTTGTCTCGATATTAATAGTACTAGTGCTGTCAAATGCGAAAAGCAGAAAAACACCAAAAGAAGGAGCTTTAACTGCAAAGTCAAATAAAATGTGTTGTAGTGAAGAAAAGCATAAATGAAGAAAAAGCAAGAAATTTACAATGTACAGGAAAAATTACTATAAACTTGATAAAGCTGCAATTAATTGAAGTATATGATGTAAAACTATGTCAATCAACTACAAAAAAATATCTTAAGTTTCTAATCGAGTTCTAGTGACTAGTTTTTCTATTTTTCTATTCCTTAATTAATGTATTCCTACATCATGTTTCCTTACCAGCAGTTTTGGTGTTAGTCTAGTTTTGTCTTGTTCTTAACCACTATTACTACCTGTTGTTGCTTCTGCTTCTGTTGTTGTTACTATCTAGTTGTTACTGCTTCTTTTCCATGACTTTTTCACTGTTGTATTTCTTTTCCTTACTGCTGTAGGGTCTATCGGAAACAACCTCTCTACCTGTGCAAGGTAGGGGTAAGGTCTGCGTACATACTACCCTCCCCGGTCCTACTTGTGAGAATACAATGGGTATGTTGTTGTTGTATACATCATGTTTCCTTAACAATTGATGTATCATTTTGTCGGCTATATTTATTGGTTGGTCCGTCGTAATATCAATCAGAATTCTAGCACGCCGCGTTTTACTGGGAAGGATCGAACCATGGGAACCAATCTACATGGCTATCACCTTTTACCTATGGCATGATGCTCATGGAGTCATGGGCAACTTATCTCTAATTGGATTTCCTTTTCCAACTTTCAACTTCATGTGTATTTGAGTGTTGTTTCAAAAAGAGAAGCTCTGGCTGGAGAGGATGAATTATAAGAAGATGAATCATCAATTTTTCTGTGTAAATTTTCTTACCAAATTCTCTGTTGCTTACATGTCTGTCGTTAGAGTTTTGAGCAAATGATTGAAGTCATACAAGTCTTTGCTTGGATCGCAGTGTATTGCCTGCATCACTATTCGTTTTCTCCCTATATATCCTGTTTTATCATCTTCGGTTATTAGTAATTTATGTGGCACTTGGTCTTCTTCAGTTTCTATCCCAATTGGAGAAATCTTGTCTTTGTTACTGTACTGAATACCTAATTACTCCACTTTACGGCACTTTTTGCTTGAGTAAATTACAACAACAGCAACATGCCCATTTTATTCCCACAGGTGAGGTCTGGGGAGGGTAGTGTGTACGCTGACCTTACCCCTACCTTATGCAGGTAGAGAGGCTATTTTCAGAGACCCTCGGTTCAGGCAATCACAGTTAGAACAGTAAAGCAAATTGAAATATAGCAATAGTAAAGAGTCATAGGAGAAGAGATAGTAGCACAACGAGCTAGTAACTAAACCGATTCTGCTTGAGGAAATTGAAATGCTGAAAGTTAGAATTTTTGAGGGCAAGACTTGAATGAAAGGGAGATAGGATGAAGTACAATTCTTGTAATAATGTGGTTGATTTTCATCACTACAGTTAGCTTTTGCTGCTCCGTCATAGTACGAGTTTCCAGTGGTTTCTGCTCTCTGAATTGTTCTAGAGCAAGATCGACCTATCAAAAAAGAAAAAATTGTTCTGGAGCAAGATCTTTTCCCTATCCCAACAGCATAATATGAAGCCTTTTCTTTCCCAGTGATCTGATGAACCGAAGGTCTCTCGGACCTATTGTTAAGAATAACGAGATACTATTTTCATTAGTAGCGTTTAACCAACGCTGCAACCAGATGCTTCGACCTGCAAATGCTAGCTCATATCACTTTATCAGGATGTAAAAACTGCTAGTCGGCATGAGATGTCGATTTTTGAATTTTGATTAATAGTCTTCCTTACTCCTAATGATGTGTGAATGTCACATTTTCTGTACAATGTGTGGTGTATAAACAATGTGCAATGCAGGAACAAGATCACTAGAATGTAGACTTTATCTTTTACTCTTAACAAAAAAGCAAAAATGGGTTTGTTTTTAATTCAGGTGGCAATTTGTATGCCTGCCTTTTGGATATTGTATCTTGTTTTTGCATTCTTGCAACTTTCCTCCTTTTGCTCGGAAACAATTTCTCTACCTTCACAAGGTAGGGGTAAGGTCTGCGTACTCACTATTCTCCCTAGACTCCACTTGTGGGATTACACTGATTTTGTTATTGTTCTTGTTGTTATTGTTGCAACTCTCCTCCCTTTTCACGCGGAGGATACTCTATGTGAGTAAAGTTTTCTGGTAAAAAAAACATAGGGTTATCAGTACTTTCTTTATTATGTATCTTTTTATGTCTTTTCCCTACAGGAAATTGACCAACAGGGAAAGGCATATGATCCATCTGCAAAATTTAGAGGATGTCACCCCTTCTTTTCTTTGTGAACTTTTGTGGTTTCTCCCTATCTGCCTAAGCTTTGGTGGATAAAGTTATTCGTATTTTTGCGGGTGGAGATACAAATACTCTATTGAATTGTCAAGGTGCTTACAAGTTGCCAGGGGCTTACACACCTTGGCCGAAGTGGTGTCACGTGATACTGCTTTGTCGAATTGTCAAATACTCTTTGCTGGTGGAGAGATACAAATACTCTATTGAATTGTCGAGGTGCTCACAAGCTGGCAGGGGCGTATACACCTTGACCGAAGCAGCATTACGTGACACTGCTTCGTCGAATTGTCAAATACTCTTTGCTGGTGGAGATACAGATACTCTATTGAATTGTCAAGGTGCTCACAAGTTGGCAGGGGCTTACACACCTTGGTCGAAGCGGTGTCATGTGATACTGCTTCGTCGAATTGTCAAATACTCTTTGCTGGTGGAGATACAAATACTCTATTGAATTGTCAAGGTGCTTACAAGCTGCCAAGGGCTTACACACCTTGGTCGAAGCGGTGTCACGTGATACTGCTTCGTCGAATTGTCAAATACTCTTTGCTGGTGGAGATACAAATACTCTATTGAATTGTCAAGGTGCTTACAAGCTGCCAAGGGCTTACACACCTTGGTCGAAGCGGTGTCACGTGATACTGCTTCGTCGAATTGTCAAATACTCTTTGCTGGTGGAGATACAAATACTCTATTGAATTGTCAAGGTGCTTGCAAGTTGCCAGGGGCTTACACACCTAGGCTGAAGCAGTGTCAAGTGCTAATGCTTCGTCAAATTGTCAAATACTCTTTGTTGGTGGAGATACAAATACTCTATTGAATTGTCAAGGTGCTTGCAAGCTGCCAGGGGCTTACACACCTTGGCCGAAGTAGTGTCAAGTGCTAATGCTTCGTCGAGTTGTCAAATACTCTCTACTAGTGTAGATGCAAATACTCTATTGAATTGCCGAGGTGCTCATAAGTTGGCAGGGGCTTACACACCTTGGCCGAAGCAATGTCACGTGACACTGCTTTGTCGATTTGCTTTTTTTTTTTTTTTTATTAAATATGTATGTATAGATTAGGTATCATTATAGTGATTTATTTTTTTGTTCACCTTTTCAAATGTTAACACTACTTGCAGAAATTCCTGCGTACGCTCCCGACAGTATTGTTATAAGAAAACATTGGTGGCTTCTGTACGATATCTACTTATGGTGGCGCAAGCAGAGTTTAGAGGGAATTAAACACTACCATTTTAATATTTATTTGGTAGGGCATAAAACATCTTTTACCTAAGATATTCTTTTCCTAAAACATTGCTTTAAAATAAATAATTTTTAGTTTATTCTCCAAGTTTAATTCGCTCAAATAAAAACAATTTGTTTGAGACCGAAGCATAATTGTTGTTGTTATGTCCAAGTTTAATTGAATGTAATGTGTAACAGTAGTGATGTTTATGATGTTTTCAGAAGAAAAAAATTCAACAATATAAAAAAACCAAATTTTAATATAAATAGATTCGGCAAATATTTAACTTAAGTCATGTTTGGTGAACTCCGGATTTTTGGCTGAAATTTGAAGAAGCAGCCACTTGATTTCTGCTGAAATTTTAAATAAGAGCAAAAGTACATCTCAGATTTATATTTGTTTTGGATCCGAATATTATGGTTTAAATTAATTATATTATTATTTAAAGCGAAGCAGATCCAAAATGGGGATAAAGTCCAAATTTTCAAAATTTTGAACATTATTTTATTCTGTAGTGGGTTTCTCTGTTGGAAAATAGATGCAACTTTAAATTTCAAATTAATCGAAGCAGCAAATAATATTATTTATTATACTTCATATATGGGGTTTTTATCTGTCGTGGTTTAGTCGACAAAATTATTAAAATATAGTAATAGCTAATGAATAAAATTAATATGGTTCGATATAAATATCAAGTTCGAATAATATTTATCTAGTTTATATATGAGGATTAATCCGGCATCTCTTAGTAGAGAGAACTCAATTATTTATATACTAGTAAAAGGTGATANGTGTGTGTGTGTGTGTGTATGTGTATGTGTGATATTCTAGGTGAATTTCACATCGATAAAACATGACAGAGATGCTAGGTATATAAGTAAACAAGTTTTAAACCCTAATGACGCGTTTTAAAACTGTGCGAGCCTACGCCCAAAGCATACAATATCACTAGTGGACTGAATTGTTACATATGATATCAGAGTCACTCCGCGTGCAACCTTGAACAATAATGAGGCAAACTTCAGTGATCAATTGAGTTTAAGCGAATCTCAAATCTTTGAGAAGGTGGTGGGACAAACCTCAACGAGAACGCTGAGTCCTGAGGGGGTGTATATGACACCACAGGCGAATCCCTATCAACAAAACATGGAGGAGATGCTGGATATATAAGTAAATAAGTCTTAGACCTTAGTGACACATTTTAAAACCGTATAAGTTTTGACTCAAAGCGGACAATATCACTAATGGGCTCGGCCATTACAATATGGAGTGAAATTCAAAAATAGCCCTATTTACAAGTGGTAATTAAAAAATAGTCACAGTTTAAAAAATAATCAAAATTTAGCCACTTTTCATGTAAAGATAAATCTGAACAAAAATACTGTTCAAAATTCAAAAAATATTTCAGCATAATATACTGGAGTTCCAACATAATATACTGGAAGTTCAAACACAGGTGCTCCAATCTTCAATATATTATGCTGGAACTTTCCGTGTACTGGAGTTCCAGCATAATATGTTGGAAGTTCATACATAGGTGCACCAATCTCCAATATATTATGCCGGAACTTTCCGTATTACAGCAAAATAGTGGTTATTTTTCAATAACTTTACAAACGCCGGCTATTTTTTAATTACCAATCCGAAAACTGGCTAACCCGTGCTATTTTTCCTACAATATGAGACCTTATTGTCCACTTTAGCTAAAGTATCTTCTAAATTACTTTTAGTTTTTTTTTTGGGTACTTTGTTTTGCGTAAGCAATCAATGTAAGATTGTGAATGGAATTATTGGTGAGATAGAGGTAGGTGTGTGAATGAACTGATAAAGACAAAAGAAAACAAAATGACAAAACTGTTTCATTGACTAGAAAAATATTCTGAAAATTTCATTTTTTTCCCTTATTAAAATAAAATAAAATTCAGAATCTTTTATTTTTATAGTCAATTAAACAGATCCAATATTTGTTTTTAACAGAATTGTTCCATATCTAAGATAAATACAAAGAATACTTAGCTGAAAAATAGATTGAATATAATAAAAATTAAGATAGAGATTACCGCACATATATTTTGACTTTCAAATGCATCATTGACTATCTTTTATTGATGTTCAAATTTTTTTCGTGACTAAAATATTTTTCTTTTTATTTTTCTATATGCATCCTGGCGTATATCAATATTTTCTCAACTTGAATATCAATGTTCAAATGTTTTCTCAACTAATGGGCGGACCTAGAGCATTAAATACGGTTTTTCGGGAACCTAGTAACTCTTACGTAAACCTTGTATTTATATTAAGAAATTCATTAAATATTTGTAAATACCTAACTGTGAACCCAGTTATTAGTAAAAATAGCACGGTATAGCCAGTTTTCGGATTGATCATTCAAAAATAGCCAGCGTTTACGAAGTCAATGAAAAATAGTCACTATTTTGCTGCAACAGAGACCGATCCAACATAATATACTGGAGTTCGGTGCACCAGTGTATGAATTCCAACATACTATGCTGGACCAGTATACTTTGCTGACTCCAGTATAATATACTGAAGACTGGAGCACCGGTGCTCCAAACTCCAGTATATTGTACTGGACAATTATACTTGCTGGAACTCTAGTATATTATGCTGGAGCTCTAGTGTACTTATGCTGGAACTCCATCATATTATGCTGGAGTTCCAGCATACTTATCCTGAAACTCCAGTATAATATGCCGGAGTTCAAACATACTTATGTTGGAACTCCAGTATAATATACTGGCGTATTTTCCGGGTTCTGAATAGTGTTTTCGCTCAGATTTATCTTTACATGAAAAGTGGCTAAATTTTGATTACTTTTGAAACTGACCTATTTTTGAACGACTAGTTATAAATCTGGCTATTTTTGAATTTCTTCCGCTAAATTTCGATTACTTTTGAAACTGGACTATTTTTCAATTTCTTCCAATTATTATTACATATTAATTTGAAATTACAATAGAAATCCATAAGCCTCAAATCCTAAATTCGCCTTCGTGAGTCAACTTAGACATAAATTGCAACCTAAATTCGTTGTATAACAAAGGCATGTTTCTCGATTTTTTGGTAGCCGGGAGATGGAGGCGTGGGATGGGCCCGAATAGTCTTTATCACGTTGAGTTTTTATATTAACTATAACTATATTAATTTATCATAATCAAGTTTTATATAGATACAAAATACATATTAATTAACTATGATTAAGTACAAAGGCAAATCATGACTTCATTAATTGCTTTGACCTTTAACATTCTTAGCATTGAATTTATTGTCTAAAATATATACTGAATATTTTTGTATCGTGTCGGAAGTATTGATTTCAGATAAATTTAGTGTCGAAACACTGGATCCGTCCCTGAACGTGTATAAATGACACATGTTATGTATTTATAAGATTAATGACAAGGTCATGGTTGGAACATGCATAGAAGACTTTTCTTTTGATTTTTTACTAGGTGTCCGGTATTCATATTGGGGCCTAATAAAATTTGTATTCGTATCGGGAAGTTCCAAATTCGGGTGGGAGGGAGGAAGAGGAGGGTAAAACGCTCCCTAAAAAAAGCGACTTCATATCTAAAATTTGAACTCGAGACCTTTAAGAATAAAAGAGTACTTACCAATTCACCGCAATCTTTCTTGCTATATATAGAAGACTTGAAGCAACTGTGAGGTCACAATAAAACAATTCATTTTCCAACCAAGAAAAGAAATATTTCTTCTAGTTTACTTTCAAGCAGCTCGCAAAATGGATGGATTTTCTTCAAATTTTGATCAATTTCCAGAAGATATAATTATGGAAATATTCTCAAGATTGCCTGTGAAATCTCTACTGAAACTCAAATCTGTTTGCAAATACTGGTACATACTTATCCAAACTCCCATTTTTATTACCAAACATTTTTGCCACAAAACAAATCATGCAATTCCATTTATTCATCTCTATTTCTTAGACAAAAAACAATTATCTCTCTCAACTAATAAATACCCTTTATTCCAAGATATTTATATTCACAAATCCACATCTTTAAAGCCAGTAATTGGCCCTTTAAATGGCTTATTTTTTGTGTACAATCTTGATATGAATGAAATGGCTATATGGAATCCAGAAACAAAGGAAATCAAGAAAATAATAATACCAAGTCCACCTTTTTATCCTTATTTTAAGTCATATGCTCATCATTTTGGATTTGGAATTGACCCTTTGAATAAAGATTATAAAGTTATATGGATAAGGGATTATTGGAAAGAAGAAACATTTACAAGGAATAAATCAGCTGTTATTTCAGTTTATACACTAAGTACTAATTCTTGGAAACATTTTGAGGATAATACATTTTGGAGTAGTCATATAGTTATGTCTTATTTTGGTACATATTTGGATGGATTTTATTTCTGGAAGATGATTACCAGCGAACAACAACAACATACTCAGTGTATTAACGGTGGACGAAAATGTGATATTCTTGCATTTGATTTGACAAATGAGGTTTTTCAAGTGATTAAAACTCCTAATTTGTTCAATTCAAATTTAGGAACACTTGGTTTATATGATGGTTTTGTTTCTATGTTCTTTCATTTTCTTGTTCAAGGCAAGACATGTATTGAGATTTGGGTGATGGAAAAGTTTGGATTTTGGACTAAAAGATTGGTTATTGAATCAAATTTGATTGTTAAGAGACCAATTGGATATGGTGTTAATGGTGAGATTTTTGTTGAAACTACAACTTCAAATCTTGCTATGATTGATCCAACAACACAAGAAATTATTAAGTGCATTGGACCATGGGAAAATGGCTACCCTTTGCAAGTTCTTGTTTACAAAAAGAGCTTAGTTTCAATCAAGAAATTGAGTAGTGGTAACTTGGGAAAATTATAAACTTCTCGTATTTTCTTGTAATCTTACTTTGTTTTACCTCTATTTATTGTATG